CCCAACAAGTCCCTTTTATACTTAAATGTCTTTTTTTTTTTTTTTTATGACACACTGTTTAAACAGGGTGACTTGCTTGAGCATTGATGTAGGGCTATTTACTGGAGCATGGAGCAACTAACAATGACAACATCACTTTAGATGAATGACTCCTTGTCTCTCAGCAGCCATTACCTGGGCCTTCAAGAGTCTCTCACCCATCCATGCTGGACTGTTGACTGCTTAACCTTACGCAGATAGGCAAAGCTTCTGTGAGTTCAGGAGAACAAAAGTCATGTTACAACCAGAAGACGGATTTCACAACACTCTTTCCTATCCTCCAGCTCTGGCATCTTTTTATCCTGATGTCCCCTGGCCTTGGCTGGGTGGGGTGGCAGGAGGTGACATACATGTTTTGTTTTGTTGGGGAACCCTGCTGCTAAGGTTGCACTCCACCATGACTAGCCAGCCCTGACTCCTTTGCGACAGGGCGTCCTCTCCTCTGCCTGACCTCACTTGGAGAGTGTCTTCAGGCACAGATGCCTCTAACCATATCTGGAGTATAACCTTTGATACAGTTCCCTGCTGATGCTATCTCCACTGTTACCTGTAGGATAACTAAGTACTGTGTTCCAGTTCATATGGTAGGACCGTGCTGCCAAATGAGGGTAAAGCGCTCCTGGCACTCCAGCGTATTCATTGCTTCTGCTCCTTTGTCTTCAGGGACTGGTGACCAAGGATCCCCCCTCTCTGAGGTGGGGGGTGGGGTGGAGTGGGGACCCACCCACACTGTTTTGAGGCTGGCCACTCAACAATTGGTCTTCTGAACTCACCAGCAAGAAAAAAACAAAAAAAACAAAACAAAAACCCCCCTTCCATCTTGATTTCTACAGGTCCTGACAATAAAATGTGTGGTGTCATCAGCAACAAGGTCTTACCACCCAATTCTGTGGCCACCAACAACAGTGGCAATAATCTGTACTGTTCTGAGGCCCTCTGGAGTGACCTGACCAACCTAAAAGGAGTTATCCCACGCCTTGGATTTCCACTGACTAATCATGGCCTCCAGGAACAGCATGATCTACACTTTCTGGATACCTCTATTCAGATTCCCTTTATTATTGTTCTATATTTTAATCAGCTTATAAAGTAGTAGGTTTTCACAAAGTTTTTTCATGAATTCTTAGCTTTTGTTTACCCTCTCTCCTACCTTTTCCTCGCCTTCTTCTCCACTTCCTCCCAGGATTATCTCTCCTTCTACTTCCATGTTTCACATCCTCTTTCCTTCCTCATACGCATGGACTCTCAAGCTTCCTGGCCTATACAGACATTCCAAATTAAACAGGTAAATCTGAGCTAGGGTCCACATGTAAGGATGAACATGTGGTATTTGTCTTTCTGGGATGTTTTTTCTTTTTCTTTTTTAAGCAAGAAAATGAAAACTATCAGGAAATTATACACATACAGATACATGTGCACAATTGAAAATAATAAAATAAATATTTTGAAAAAAGAGCTAACAGGATATAAAGTGAATAAAAACTAAATAAATTTAATTAAAAATAAAGTAAAACTAAAGTCTCTTCACTGTTCCACATGTGATAAAGTTCCTAGGATTTTGGCCATTGTATAAGGATAAAACAAACAAACAAACAAAAAAAAAAAAACAAAAAAACCTAGTTATTTAGACATCATTTCTACCTCACCTCTAGTCTTGAGTCTTTGATAACAAATCTTTCTCTTCAATGTGAAAATCCAACTAGATCCATAGGCCAAAATTGAGACTGATTATGAATTTTATATTTGACATAAGAAATAGTATCCTACTCTTGTTTACCATAACTTCTTCTTGGCCATTTACCAGTTCTTGCTAGTGATATTTCTAAATTGCATTTTCATTTTTGTAACAGACTGAGCTTTGACAACACTGCTACACATCTGGAGAATGAGTGATTGCACTTGTTTCCAGTGTTTCTAAAAGCAGCGTTTGTGATTCAGATTTCAAAGGTTTGTATTTTTGTTTTAAATTGTGACTTTTTAAACCATGAATCACAACTTGATATGGAATCACATCACTGAATGTAAGGGTCACAAAAAATTTGTCAAGTTGCTGAATGTGCAGTGGGCAGAAATTAAGTCAAAAGCAAATGAGCAATATACATTCCTGACAGTACCCCCACTCTGAATTGCAATTTCATACTTCACTGAAGTTTTGGTTTCAAATACACAGTAATTTGCATTGCACAAATTGCTATACTACTAACACATTGTTGTACCGAATTCACTGTCAACCAATACTGTGTTAAACACCTCAACTCAGGTTTAAGACTATTGTGTAATGAATCACAGTGTTTTTACTGTGCTTACAGTTTCCTGCTCTCATAGAAACATAATGGTTTAATTATGGAGAAGAAAGATTTGATATCTACTTGTTTACATTCCTGAGCAGGTTAGTATTAAATTAGTGTATCTCTGGATTGGATTGTGGTAGAATGTTTGATTTAAGAAATTGAATTGCTGACTTGAGTTTCAGTTAAAAGAATATCATTCAATGAATTTTGACTTGAGATCAGAATAATTTTTCATCATTTCAGAAAAGGTCTTAAATATACTTTAGCTTTTTTGTACTATGTGAAAAAACTTTCTTAGCATAATGCTTATAGAATCAAAGTATCTAATTCTGAAAAACACTTAAGTTGTTCTCTGTCTTGAAGTAACATGTATTCAACAAAGATTTAATTCCTCATGTAAAAATAAATGAGCAGTCCATCTTGCTGATATGCTACTTTTCTGTCCTCTTTAATAAATAGCAAAACTGTATGTTTACAAATAATCACTTTAAAAATTATCATTTTATTTTATTTATTGGTGTTCTGCCTCCATGTATATCTCTGTGAGAGTGTCAGATTGCCTGGAACTGGAATTATAGTTGTAAACTGCCATGTGGGCCCTGGGATTTGAGCCTGGGTCCTTTAGGAGAGCAGTTAGTGCTCTAAAATGCCAAGCCATCTCTCTACCACACAAGTAATTACTTTAAAGTAAAATTCCTTATGATTGCAATACCTACCTTGTGTAAATATGGGGGCAAAGAGAGGGTGCAAAGAGAAAGTTTAGGAAACCTTATATTAGTTATGACCTTACCCTATAACAGAGATTTTATTACTTCCTCATCATCCTTGTCTCTGAGGTGTTTCAGTCTTCACTGAAGATTCACTCAAAGCCAGCATCCCTGCATATCCTCAGGATGCACAAGGGCACTGCCATATTCTCAGGATACATCAGTCCATGAGAAGTTTTTCTGTTGGTCAATATGTTAGGTTTTCAGAGTAGGTGACCAAAGACCTTATGTGATCTGAATGGTTTTGTAAAGAATTATTCTGAAAATGTCATAAAATTTCTTCTAAAAGTCGTTTTTCTTTTAAAATTTAATTAAAATAAAATTATATTATGATCCCTTCTCAAAACACTCTCATGTGCTCCCCACCCTTAAATCCATGGACTCTTTATTATTGTTAATTTGTATGAATAAGTGAGGGTCTGCTTAGTGTCAGCTTGTTTGTACGTTTTCAAGACTGACCAGTTGATGCTGATAACCGTTTAGGGGCTCATGCGCTCATTTTAAAATATTTTTAAGGCTTTTAAAATTAATTCAATTTACATCTCGGTTATAGGCCCCTCCCTCCTCTCCTCCCAGACGCACTCTCCTTCCCACATTCCCTTTCCCCTATTCTTGAGAATAGGGGTCACCCCTACCCAGACACTCCAGCTCATCTATTCACGTGAGGACTGGTAGGGAAGTCCCAGGAACATTCTTTTGGGTTAAAGCCCATGTTCAGCGTTTCAAATGAAAGGTGGGCAGATATGAATTCATTGTCATGCATTTTTCTTGAAAAGATTATTTGAAGATGATAGGAGCCCTAGTGCATGTCTGAGAGCGTTTGTGGCCTTGAGAGAGGAAGAAGCTTGTGTATCTTCTTACAGGCCTGGGAAAGTGTAGCTGAACCTTTTTCCCCTTTCCTTTCTCCGTTTTCCGGAGTTTTACACCAAAGGTAGTGCTTCACGATGTCAGAATTATTGACTCTCATCTTTCCCGTTCTTTGCAGTGTGCTCTCCTCTCTAGTACCGCCTCACCCTGCCCACCACAGCAGCTCGCAGTCCTTGGCTCCTGAGTGACCCCTGGTTTGGAACCACAGAAAGGGCAGTCACCCTCTAGCTCACCTCCTCTCTCACCTCTGCATGAATAAGAACCTGAGTCAAGAACTAAAACCAACCAAAAACAAACAAACAAACAGCAAAGGGCGTCCATCCTTCGCGTCGTCGCCGGCGAAAAGCAGTTTCACTCCTCCACCCTTCCACCGTGGATCCAGGGTCCTGCCATCTCCCTACCACCTCCCGGCTGTGGGTTCCCGCAACCTCGAGTCTCCTCCCGACCGTGGGTTCCACCACCTCCCCTCCACCCCCGCCCGCCCTAGGTCCCGCCCCTCCCGGTCACCTCGCAGCCGCGGGTCCCGCCCCCGCCCCTCCGGTGTCCCTCCCGCCCCGACGTCGCCCCGCCCTCTCCGCACCGCCCTGCTGCCGCCGCTGCAGCCTCCATTGGCCGGTGGGAATATCGTTCTCGCAGCTAATTCTGCGGCCGCGGGAGTGCGGGGAAACTTCATTATTACTAGGGCGCCGAAGGCTGGCGAGGCCTGAGCTGCCTGCGGGCCGCGGCGGGCGGGAGTGCGGGTGCGGGCGGGCCGGCCGCGCCCGCGGGGGAGGGGGCTGGGCTGTCGGCAGCTCGCTGTCGCGGAGGCGCCTTCCCGCTCCGGCTCGCCGTGGGCCGTGGGTGACCTCCGTGCGTGCAGAGCGGCGCGGCGGCAGGGGAATTCGCGCTGCGGCTGGCCGCGGGCTCCTCCCACCCAGCTGGCGGGCGGGGCTCGGGGACCGGGTCTCCGGTGCGGGCGAGCTGCGGGCGACCCGAAGGCGAGACAGCGGAGCAGGTGTGTGAGCTGAAGGGCTGAACCTGGTGAGCTGTGCAGCCAGGCGCCCCAGGGGAAGAGTGCTTGAACTTTGCTGTTCCGGGCTGTTTTCTGATTCTGTTTTACCTTATAGTTCACAGCTGGCCCATTAGGAGGTACCTTATTATTATTATTTTTTAACCTCAGGCATCTAAGATTTTGCTAGGATTTGTCTCACCCGGGGTGCTTTGGGGGAGGACGATTCAAGTGATGTCTTCCATTTTTGTGTGCCTTCTGGCGCTTTCCACAAATAGGAAGCTATTTCTAGACCTTTCATTTTATAATTTGATAAAGTGAACTGATTTTTTAGCTTTAGGCTGGAAAGAAAAGAAAGCGAAGTAAAAGAAAGATTAGCCTTTTTAATTGCAGTCAGAGCAAAATGGTACTTTCGGAGGCATGTTACAGTGCAGCTGTTTTTGGTATTTCCTTTCCTTGGAGAAAGAGAGCGTTATAAATCAGAAAAAGTTAAATCTGTGGCTTACATACTCCAGTTTTGACCTTATCTGAGAAGTGAAACTGCAGGAATCAAATTAGAGGCAAAACTCCGTTGTCACAAAAAATAGAAGCATGTTTCACTGTTCGCTAGTTGGACTTGTTTAGGATTTGGCGTTCATTGTGCTAAAAAAGAAGCAGGAGTCCAAAAATGTCCCAAACGGTGTTGGAAAAGTCATTGGGTATTTCATTTCATGCCGCGGGACAAATTTGGATCTCTTAAGATTTGTATAACCGCTTAAGAACGTCTTTGTACATAATAAAAGTAGCACCCCTGTTGGAGACGAAGATAGCTTTGCACCAGTTTCTGAAATAAAAGTGATAGTCTGCTATCCTAGGGATTCTCCACATAAGAAGGTGGAAATGATATCTGAAATCCATGCAGGACCAGCAAAGCTCGCTCGGTGAGGGAGGGACCTCAACACATCTTTATGGCCCCCTCCCTTGCTTTATTTGGGTGACTGGAGGTGCCTGTTTGTGACTTCTTGTATTGCATGTAGAGGATACTGTAACAGGGAGAAACGAAAGTAGAAAGCACTGTGGCTGTTGCGGTAAAGTAGCCAGCTGTGACAGATACCTGGAAAAATGAACTGCAAAACTGAATTATTTCTCAGTAATTTTTGTCCAATCTAAATTAAGAGATGTGAAAGTAATGAAAAATTTGCCATCCCAATTAAATGGCAAGAATTTTATAAAGTACTCTCTATGGCTCTAGTCACATTAAAGGTGACCAGCTTCATCAAGGTTGGTTTGAGGTTATCTTAAGCAAATCCCCGTCTTTATATACACTGAAGAACATTACATCTTGAATGGTTAAAGATACTGTTTTCAGAAGTTTGCTCATGCCTTTCTTTTGGAGATGGAGTCATGTTATAAGGTGTAGACTAGTCTCTGATTTACTATAGCCCAGGACTGCATTGAACACTCAGTAATTCTCCTGCCTCCACCTGGGATTGCAGGTGTGCACCACTCCCGGCTTACGTATTTTTAAGCACTTTGCAGAGAACGGTTCTGATGCTGTTTCTTTAGTGTGCATCTCCCCATGCTGAGCTGGGACAATTCTGGCTTTTCGTCCAAATGCTTAGTGCATGATTAGGAAATGTTAAGTCCTCCAAACCTTAGTTTTGGTGTTTTTTTTTTTTTTTTTTTTTTTTTAATTTTATTTTTTTCTTATCAGTTACATTTTATTAACTCTGTATCCCAGCTGTGTCCTGATCCCTCATTCCCTCCCAGTCCCTTCCTCCCTCATCTCCACCGTGCCCCTTGCCAAGTCCACTGATAGGGGGGACCTCCTCCCCATTCATCTGATCCTGTTTTATCAGGTATCTTCAGGACTGGCTGCAAAGCTCTCCTCTGTGGCTAGTTTTGGTTTTTATTGTTTTTTTTTTCTGTGATGTGAATGGAAATAATATCTAATGCACAGAGCTGATGAGATTAAACAAAATTCTGTGAAGGCCCAGACCGACAGAGCTGCTTGGCGAAGGACAGTAACATGTTTTCTCTTTGCTTTGAGGTCGTGAAGGGATGAAGGTGAGTTCAGAAAGTAGAGACCTAGTTTCTGGGCTCTGCTTCAACAACTTAATCCCTCTTTTTCTTGTTCTTTTCCACTCCCCCTTCATTCTAAGATGGAATTTCATGTGGCTGAGGCTGGCCTTGAACTTGCTTTGTAGCTGGTGACAGCCTCTTGCCTCCACCCTCTAAGTGTTGGACTATAGGCTGTGCCACCTCTCTCTGCAGCCACTTAACGATAGTTACTTGTTCCTGAAGATCTCAGCTGCCAGTTCTGATGGATTGGTAAGCGTGTTTCAGTAAGATGGCCCCTTTGACAATACTACCCTGCCCTCCTAAACATTTGAAATATTCAGAAGTGACAGGTGCTGGTCTCAAGGTGTGTGTTTCTGTGTGAATGAGCTGTTTTTTCATGAGTCAAGGTTGTGGAGGGCAGTCTGGTTAACTCTCTTGAGATTTGTTCACTCCCCTCTCCCTCTGGCTGCCTCAAGCTCTGGTTGTGTAATCACTGATAATTTAGTGACTGTGAGCTTACTTATTGCATGTATTTTGATCTTTTGCAGCTTTGTCTTTAAACTCTTGTTTACAAAATAAAATGTGGCTTTTGTGACTTGGTTTCCTTTTGTTCAGTGTCATGTTTAAGAGTATAGCTTGTAGGCTAGTAGAGGAAATTTGAATTCTGCCTTTTGACTTAGGAAGTTTCTATTTCAAGCTACTTATTTACATGTTCTTGGGCAAGTGATTTAATCTTGCTAATCTTGAGGCTTCTAAAGCGGTTTTGCCAACTTGCACTCCCACCAGCTGTGTATAATAAGACTTCTGGGTGTTCTAGATCTTTGACTTAACAGAGGGTAAATTAAAGTTTTAAAATCTAGACTCAGGGTAGGTTTTCAGGCACAGTAAGCTTTGTTGGTTTGTTTATTATTGTTATTTGTTTGTTGTTTCCTCTGTTCAGGAATTAGTTTTGAACCCTGTCCTAGTTATGGTTACTGTTATGGAGGAATGGGTTTGTTCAGCTCATGCTTCCCTATGGCAGTTCATGACCAAAGTCAGAATAGGAACTCAAGCAGAGCAGGAGCCTAAAGGCAGGAGCTGGTGCAGAGGCCATGGAGTAGTGCTGCTTACTGGTTTGCTCAGCCTGCTTTCTCATAGCACCCAGCTGCCTGGGGTGGCACTACCTGCAGTGGGCTGGGCGCTCCCTCATCAATCACCAATTAAGAAAATGAGCTACAGGCTTGCCTACAGCCTGAGCTTATGGAGGGATTATCTTTTTTTAAATTTTTATTTAATTTTTATTTTATGTGCATTTGTGTGAAGATGTCAGATCCCTTGGAATTGGTCTTACAAACAGTTGTCAGCTGCCATGTGGGTGCTGGGAATTGATCCTGGGTCCTTTGTAAGAGCAGACAGTGCTCTTAACCACTGAGCCATTTCTCCAGCCCTGGGATTATTTTAATTGAGATTCCCTCCTCTCAAAAGACTTTAGCTTGTGTCATGCTGACATAAAACTATCCAGCACAAGCCCCTTCTATTTTCTGGATAGCAGTCTGGTCTCTAAAGATGGAGAAATGAATAAAAGAATCCCAGGCTTGGAGCTACCACAGAGAGGCAGAATTCCATTCTCTCAATTGTAGCATATTGGTGCAGTTGCTGCCTCAATGTCTGTGTCTCCACTCCCACCCCTTTGTGGTGTGTGTGTGTGTTAAATAGATAGATAGATAGATAGATAGATAGATAGATAGATAGATAGATAGATAGATA